ATTTAAAAATAAAGTTATCATAAGTTAGAAATATATATTATAAATATGGATCAAAATAAATAAGAAATTTTAAAATTCATATACTCTAATTAAAAAATTGCCTAAAAATCCAATCGTAAAAAAAAACTTCTAAATATTTTTCACATAAATAACTATTGGTATTAATTATGTAAGAGTGCATATAAATATTTTTTTATATTATAAATTAATGTCTTGCTCTTACAAAAAAAAGAAAATGGGATTGATACTCAACAATATTATCATCACTTTTAAGCAATTTATAAATTTTTTTTAAGTTTTACTTAGTGACCAAATAGAATTCCGTCGCTAATTTTAACTAATATTTAGCAATCGAATAGAATTTCGTTGCTAATTTGAACTAATATATAGCGACCGAATAGAATTACATCGCAAATTGTAACTAATATTTAGCGATCGAATTTAATTCTGTCGCTAAAAAAATTAAAATTTCTAATTTAGAGACCGAATTCAATTCCGTCACTAATTTTAACTAATATTTAGCAACCGAATTTAATTCCGTCGCTAATTTTAACTAATATTTAGCGACCGAATTAAATTTTGTCGCTTAAAAAAATCAAAATTTATAATTTAGCAACAGAAATAGCGACCGAATTCAATTCCTTCACTAAATTTAACTACTATTTAGTGATTGGATTCAATTTCGTCGCTAATTTTAACTACTCTTTAGCGACCGAATTAAATCCCGTCTCTAAAAAAAATCAAAATTTATAACTTAGCGACTGAAATAGCGACCGAATTCAATTTTGTCGCTAAATTTAACTACTATTTAGCGACCAAATTCAATTTCGTCGCTAATTTTAACTAATATTTAGCGATCGAATTAAATATCTATCGCTAAAAAAAATCAAATTTTATAATTTAACGACCGAAATAGAGACCGAATTTAATTTCGTCGCTAAAAAAAATTAAAATTTATAATTTAGCGACTGAATTTAATTTTGTCGCTAAAAAATCAAAAATTCTTATTTAGCGAGCAAAATAGCGACCGATTTTCTAGCGACGACTTATTTTAATCGCTAAATCGGTCGCTATTTTGATTATTCATAATGGCCGCTAAATCAGTCGCTAATTTCGGTCGCTATTTTGCAATTTTCTAGTAGTGCTACTTGACAAAAAATAGAAGGTCACAAAAAGAAAAATATTTACAAAGAAGAAAAAGTAAGCTGTTAAAAGTGACTCAAAACTCATTAAGAATTTGGACCTTCTTCTTTTAACCTTAACTTACTCCTATTGCCTCATTTAGGACTTGACCATTGACACGATGTTATCACAATTGATGATAAGCTAATTAATTAATGGTGAAAATTCACAAAAAAAAATTATAGTAGAAAACAAAATGAATAATAAGAAAAAAAACATTGTTGGACCAATTGTGAAAAATTATGAAAGTAATAAAGATATAAATTTTTTTAAAAAAAAACTACTAATTATTATCCTAAAGAAAAATGGTTAAAAAATTAAAAGTAACTTTTTATTACCTCTAATCCTTAATATACCCAAATAATTAATTTACTAAGATAAAAAAAAAATATTTTTTTACTAAGATTAATAAATATATCGTTTTTTATATACTTTTTTTTTCCAAACTTACTTCTAAATTAATGAAACTGTTTATATTTTAAAATACACAAATTAAATAAATTTTCTTATCTTTCCAACTCAATAAATACATTTATTAAAAATATTGTGAAAAAAAAAATTGCTTAAAACATAATAGTCTGAATCTTATAAAAAAAAAGGATAAAATTGACTTAAATTTTTGGATCTTATAATAAAGATTGAAGGATTGTAATAGGCATATCACTAGCTAGTACTTAAAAAAACAAAGTCACTAATATATATTTTTTACTACAATGCCAATTTATAATAAAGTTATGTTATTTATTAACTGTTTTATCATGAGTCTAATGATTGTGTCTTAGCTTTAAAATCAATCAATTAATTAAAAATATTAATTTGTATAACTTATTATTATCATAAGAGTCAATAAACTGATTATGAAAAATTATAATTGGATAATTATATAAAACTATTTTACATTATCAATGCATATTTATTAAATCTTTTAATTATTATTGGTATAAGATACTTAACATAGTTAGCTAGTAATGAGGTTAGGTATATAAATATATTTAAGTTTAATCTTTTTCTTTTTTTAACTAAATTAATAGATGAGTATGACATTTTTTTTGACTATCGAATAAAAAATTAATAATTATCCAAAATTCAATAGTAACAAAATTTTATTCAACATATGGCCATAAAAAAATTCTTTAAAGCTAAAATTTTCTTTTGTATAACCCAGAATTTTACTTCTGGATCTTTGTAACCATGGTCAAAAAATTTTCTAATGTTAAAAGAAAAAAAAATTTATGAGGTACTCATAAATAACCAAATTCAATTGAACATTTACGGCATAATAATTGTCCCATCATTTTCAGCCTGTGTTATAAATTTATGACTCATCCCCCACCCACCTAGCTCTAACTCCTGTTCCTGCTGCTATCTTTCTCTCATCTCCATCTTCATCTTCACGTTTTAAGTACATTCCTTATTTTCCTTAATCTGCTACAACGTTAACTCGTCGCATGTTTCTTCCCTCGTTTTGAGGCCAATTAATATGTCAGAACAGGGTTCGTTTTCCGGTGTCACGGGCTCAGAACCCAAAGAGATGAAAAAGAAGGTTCCTTTGCTGAAGCTCTTCTCCTTTGCCGACTTCTACGATTGGGTTTTGATGGGTGTTGGATCTGTTGGGGCATGCGTTCATGGTGCTTCTGTGCCTGTTTTCTTTATCTACTTCGGAAAGATAATCAACGTCATAGGCTTCGCTTACCTTTTTCCCCAAGAAGCTTCCCACAAAGTTGCCAAGGTTCGTGTTTCCTTTGTTTTTTAGTTAGACCTAGCTTCATGTATTGTCCACTTCCCATGCATAATTCGGTACCTTTCCAGTTTCCATCCTTTTCCTCTTTAAAATTTGTGAGTTAACTAGCTTGTCGGAAATCACGTTACTGTCCATATATATATATCAAATTCTCTATGTAATTATGTCAAAAAATATTGTTAACCAAATCACACTGAACAATTTATATATATCCTACAATATTTCTATACTTATATATAAAATAATTTTCTATTTTTGTACATAATTTTTTAGAGTATTTTATTCTTAAATTTTTAAATAATAAAAATAACAAATTAATTATTTTTACAAACTTAAGATTTTAAAATTTAAAAATTAGACATAATATTAGTTGATTTAATAAATATTAATGATTTTTAAATAAATATAGAAACATGAAATATCTTAACTCTATTAATATATAATTATGTTAGTTAATTTTATTAAGTTTATAAAATACAATTTTGATATACCAATTTTATCATTTTTTTCGTTTAAGGTTTAGAAATTATTAAATAGTGTCCTTACACCAAGGGTTAAGGAATTAAAAGTAGAATTTTTTCATTCAAAAATGTATATATTCACATTCTCTTGTGTTATTTATTGATTCTCATTTTTTATGGAAAAAATAAAAATATTACTCAATATCAAAACTCGTATATTAATACCAATATTGATAAATGATAATTAAAAAATTTGAATAATAAGAGGGAGGATATATATTTATCAAATTCTCTTTTCATTATAAAAAAAATATATTCTCATAATCTTTAATAAGAAAAAGATGAAAAATAAAATTAATAATTTATAGAAATTACAAACTGTCTTAAATGACAATTTCTTTCTAATTTATAATAAAGACACGAGAGATTAATATGATAAAGTTCACAATTAAAGGGAGTGATGGTCTTTGCTCCCCATAATTGCAACCAAGCAATTCTCTCTTCCTCTCCTATACGTACAAAATTTAATGAAAAGAAAATTATTTTTGCTTTCTCAATTTGTTAGAAATAAAGACTTTTAAATCGATTATTAAATAATTGATGAATAATTATATGATAATCTAATATTTTTATAATATGTGTATATGTGTATTTTAAATAAATTCAATCTTAACCTTGTTTCTTTGCAATTTTGCAGTATTCGTTGGATTTTGTGTATCTAAGCATTGTAATATTGTTTTCAGCTTGGATAGGTATGCATTTATTATACTTGACTTATGGATTTTTTATTCTGGTAAAAAAAAATCTTATGAAACAATGTTGTCAATTCATTGACTATTTGGGTGGTACCATACCATAGAGGTGGCTTGTTGGATGCATACTGGGGAACGTCAAGCTGCAAAGATGAGGATGGCATATTTAAGGGCAATGTTGAATCAAGATATAACTCTTTTTGATACCGAGGCATCAACTGGAGAGGTTATTTCTTCTATTACTAGTAACATCATCGTTGTTCAAGATGCACTGTCTGAGAAGGTATATATATATTCATCGTTTTAATTTTGAAGAAATTATGGTTTCTATAATATTGCTTGCCAGTTTTGTTGTGTTTCTTCATTCAAAACGTGCTGCATTTACAACTTCTGGTAAAATTATTGCTATATTCTGCATAGTCAATATTTTTTCTGGGTGCTGACCAATTTCAGTTTTCACCCCCACTATGTTTTCAAAGGGCCCAATGATAGTAATTCATTCTTTTTTTAAATTAAAATCTTTTATCATAAAATATATTATTTGAATAAGAACTTTGACAAATATTAAAATTTAATAATTTATCAAAATATTTTGATTATTCAAATTGTAGGATATTAAATTTTAAAGTTTTTCATGTGCTCATTTATTTTCTCTCAGTATCTCTCTCTGTTAAATATATATATATATATATATAAAGAATATTTCTATTTCATAATTTATTCAATATATATTTAAGATTAAGATTTAAAATTTAAATAATTTTATTAAATTAAGAGATATAAATTATTTATTTATAATTAAGGTTAGGATTGAAACTCTAAATAATTTTATTAAGATTAAGATATATAAATTTTGCTTACTACTTATACCAACCTTGATTCATTTAATTTTGTCTGAGTTTTTTTTTCTCTCTCTCTCTGTGGTCCTCTGTTCTCTCTTTCATTTTCTTTCTTTCTTCTCTTCCCTCTACTCTTGGTTCTCTCCATCTTTTCTTATCTCTGTGACTATCTCCATCTCTTCTTATCTCTCTAACTCTTTCTTTATTTCTATTCTGTCCATCATTAATATTTTTCCTAAAAATTACCAATATAATTTTTTAATTCGAGATTCAAAAACTAACCAATTTTTATTTTTATTTTTTTATAATTTTCAAGATTAAATTTTTTATTTTTAAACACATTTTAAAAATAAATTTTTTATATGGTAAAATTTAAACTGTCTTGTCCAAATTAATAATTTAAAATTTAGAAATTTAAATTTATTTATTCAAAGAAAATATTTTAAAAATTAAAATTTTAAATCAAATTCACATATGAATATTTCAAATTTCTTAAATTTTTCATCCCAACATATACATAACCAAGGATTTTGCTAAATCACTTGCTTGAAACGGTTGAGATAATTATTTCTAAATTTAACTGAGTTTGTACAATATATTGTATACATTTCTTTTATAGTAAATAAAATTTTTAGAATATATAAATTATGTTTTCATTAAAATAAATTATACTTTAGATTTAAGATAAATAATTTATAATACAATATAATATTATTTTAATGGTTATCAGTTATTTTTAAAATATATTAAAATTTAAATTAAAAATAGATATAAAAATAATGAATAGAGAAAGATAAGATGTTAAAAAATTATTAAAATATAATTCTCACCATAGTGATACATGCATAACTACAACACTAAACAACATCATATACACAACTAGTATATCACACAACTTATATCTATGAGCCTCAATACTCACAAAATCAACAACAATTTCACAACCAAGATTCATGCATAACCATATCTTCATACAACACCGTATGCCACAACTTGCATACATCACAGCATCGTGCCTACTTGCACCATGTGTTGTCATACACAAGCAATAGAGATCTCCTATAGAAGAGATTTACTCAAATCAACCTTACCAAACAATACCAACCTTAGTCAATTAGGTATCATTGACATAGACTCAAAAGGTCTTATATCACCATCAAGATAGGACAGTTGGGATGAGCCTCACCACAACATTGGTTTGTAATAATCAAACCCTTTATGGAATCAACTCATTACCTAACCCCAAGATATAGTGCACCCTTCTAGCACTAGGTCGAGGTGAACCCCAGGTGACCACCCTTGGCTTACGTGACAACTCAACATCCAAGTTCATAGGATCTAGACACGACCATTCAACAACTAGTATAAAGTGACTCACTTTATATTATCTTCATAGCACCGTTTAAAAGAGAAACACATATTTTAAAAAACTCGTCCCCATTTGGAACTACGAAAACACTAGGCTCTTAAACATTTAATCATCTAAAATCTGCCATTGAACAACTCAGCAAAATAACGCAACTCATCACTCCCTTTTAAAATGCCAAAGGCCCATTTCAAAACAACATGGATGAGAGGATCAAACCTCCTCAACATCCACTAAATAACGCAACTCATCACTCCCTTTTAAAATGCCAAAGGCCCATTTCAAAACAACATGGATGAGAGGATCAAACCTCCTACACTCACCCTTAAAACATGCATAAAGCATACAATAATTAATGACAACCACTACCGGCTCATGCCAACATCTAGGCACTCAACATTATACATGCATTCTTACATATATAAATAAATAACATAATCAACATCAACATAATCACCATCAACATCATTGACATATGCACCATCAATATCATCAACATAAGTATCATTAATAATTATCATATCATCATTTATATAACACTCATCAAATATACATCACACCATGAATTAGGGGTTCAACCTTCTTTTACATTCACCTTTAACATCATGCACAAGGCATAAACAACTCACCATAGCATATCACCACCCAATATAACTACAAACACTACTAGTTCATGCCCATAACAAGACAAACAACACACAAACATAAAAACATATGTAACTACATATTTTATTATCCTCCACAACATCTCAAAATAGAAACATCATCATTCACACCATACAACACTTTTCAAAACAACTACGATCCTAACATATCATAGGACCTAAGATAGAAGCCTTCTACTCCTAGTCCTTTAGGTTATCTGGAACTCAACACTTATTCTAAGCTAAGACAAGCTTAACATAAACCTTTTAGGGACAACAACATCACTTCCTTGTCCACCTTGGACATAGGAAAACTAGAATTTCTCTCAATAGGCTTTAGCTCACTAAGCAACCATAACTTTTATGGCTTCTTGCTAAACAAGAATAGACTCATTATGCCCCAAGCCCTTCATGGATCCTCCCTAAGTGAGCTTTGGTTCATTGAGTGACCCTGGCCCTCTAGGGGTTCTCTCATGTAGCAAGCCCATCTCACTTAGTGATCACCACCCTCTATGGCAATTCTCATTGGGTGAGCCTTCATTAACCAACCCAGATCACTAACCAAGACTAAACTTGCTGAGTGAAAACACGGTTTCTGGGTTTCCAACCTTTATACCATGAAGGCTTGCCTAGTGTGGACCATTTTTCGTAGCGAGAATGCCCAATATCCCCGTGGTGTTGGCACTCTTCAACCATCTACAATCCTCCAAACTTACATCCAAACCTTACAATCTTACTAATTCAACAACTAGACACTAGTACAAAAGAGGTAATTTACGTCGGTTATTTTAAGTTTTTACGTCAGAAAAAAGTCTGACGTTAAAGCGGGAGACGTAAATTTATGTCGGTTATGAAATCTGACATAAATTTACACCGGACATTGCCAAGATCCGACGTAAAAAAGTTGTAAACAAAAAAAATATAACGAGTGCAAGCAGAACAGGTCATTCTACTTGCAGAACGGGTCGTTCTGCTTGATAGAACAACCCAGCAGAAAAAGTCAACAACCCAAACAAATAGAACAACATAAAGACCAAATAGAACACATAGCCACAATAGCAATGCGAAGCAGAAAGGTGTTAGCGATTCATACTTGAGCTGCCACAATGTGCGAACGAGTAACGAAGAGTTCACCCCACTCTACAGAAGATAGAAAAAACGATTTAGCAACAAAGGAGAGGGCGAAAGTTTATACAGAGAAGAATCTAGAAAAGTGATGAGATCCGAGTGAATGCGTGCGTGCATGTGCCTCCCATGCACTCTTTTGTCCGACGTAGATTGTACATTTTACGTCGGACCCTACCAGGTTCGACGTAAAAAAGTTTACAAAAATTACAAAAATACTACCACATCTTTTTTACGTCGATTTTTCTTAAGTTCGATGAGAAAGAGGTGACGTAAAAGGTTCGTTTTCCACTAATGACAACACGAATTCAGTAACAAACAACACATGGAACTATAATTCAACACAACAACATTTCCCACTTCATCTTCATGAACACCCAAAACCCCAACATGCACAACTTCAAATTCTCAACAAATAATTTATCAATTCAACACAAAACAACGACAACAACATTTATGCAATGTATATAAGTTATCATCAAGCTTCTCTTACCTTAATCATATGAGAAAGAATCAAGGTAGATGAAAACTTCCTTTACATCTCTCACCAGAGATTCTCATGACTTTGACCCTCAAGAATCTCAACACTACAATCTTTTTTAGGCTTCAAGATTTACCAAATCTCTAGCTTCAAGGAGATCACAACCTTAAAGTCACTTAGAAGCTTGAACAACAGCTCAAAGTTCCCAGAGACCTATTCCCAAACTTCTCTCTTGAAATCTTAAGTTATAAACTTATGAAGTTTACTTTTCAAAAACTGCATTATACATTTTAGCCCTCCTCGGACCCACTCTCACACATTTAAGCTATCTTGTTTATAATTAGTCTAGAGTCATCTCAATTATAACTCCCCCACTCCAACATAGGCAAAAACAATGTATAACATTACTAGTAATTACATATGTCACCAATACATAATTAAGAAAACGTAGTGTTACAAATGTAACTAACAATTAGAGGAGAAGCTTATAAAAAGGTACAAGTAAAAAAGTGAAAAATGTCATATATAAGGATGAGCGTATTATTAGTATATTAAAGTTAAACTTTTGGTTAACCATAGGTTTAGTCTAATGATGAGAATTTAGATAACATGTACAAGATCCTAAGTAAAAATCTTGTTGTCATCGTTATAATTTATATTGATAAAAAAAAAAAGATAAATTAAGCTCTTTGTGTCTTAAATTTTAACGCTTCGCAATGTTAATCACATGATGTAATTTTTTAATTATATATTATTGGAGTATTTGCAAACTTCTTAACGCATAAAATTATCTGTTTTGAAAAATTAAGCTACAATTTAGTTTGATAATTTTTTTTTAATTATAAAAGTATCACCTTAAATATTTTTATTTTGTTTCTATTTTCAAAAGTAAACGCTAAAAATAGTGTGACACTTTTTATAATTAATTTTTTTTTTAAATTGAATACATGTGGTAAAAGAAAATAAAAAGATAAAATGAAAAATTAAGGTATATAAGTTAATTTTGATTTATAAAATAGTAATTTTTTTTTCCTTTTATGCTACGAAAGTATAAGTTACTTAATTTATTTTACCTAAAGGCAAAAGTATATATTAACTATTTTTCCTTAAACGAAGAACAAATATGATTTTTCTTTGTCATTTCCGTGTCTTATTATTATTATTATTATTATTATTTTAATTCAAATAGTCTAAAACTTTATTCATCTTCATTTTATATTTGTTTTTCTCAATAATTATATATACTTCGTTCTTTCATATTTTGTCTCACCATCGAGTCCACGAAAATGAAGTGATTTCTCACTGACCTCATCTATCATATCTCTTGCGACAATCCCAATGATACCGATTTAGTGCGTGTTTGCTTTAGTTTTTGAATGTAAAAATTTACGTTTGTGAGAAGTAAAAAATTGTAACTTCTACGTAAATTAGCTTGTAAACATGGAGAGAAAGTGAAAAATCACGTTTCTAAATCTAAAGCAAACATGCATTTAATGAATTGGTTAGTATTAATATACTATGGTTGGTGATAGTTACGTTGTTTTGGAGATTGGACATTTTGCTTGACATTTGGTTGTTTTCATATGAATGTGATTATGAGAAAGCAAATAACTGAAGACGAACGGGACTAGGAATAGATCAACGGGAGAAACCGCCTTATAAGACACAACACAAAAGCTAATTAATATTTGCAGATAGATAAAATACATCACCCCATCTTAATATATGCTCATAAATACGACGCAGGTTTGCCTGTATTGTGGGGTATAGTGCACTAATGCTTTCTTTGACTTTGATTTTTTAAAGAAAGAAAAGAAAGAAAGTGAAAAAGAAGAAAGTGAGAAGATGTGAAAAATAAGTAGAAAATGAGATAATTATTTAGTTGTTTAGTAGAAGAGGAAAGTAAAAGAAAAATTGAAAAAGAAAAGAGAGTAAAGAAATATATGTTTAAAAACATAAATAATTATGTTATGTTTTGTAAAAATTATAATTAATAAATATATATTTTTATATAATTTTATTAAAATAATTCACTCTATTAATAAATATATTATTTTTAAATTATAGTTGAATATTTTACGAAATGAAAAATTAGAAAATAGTTAATTAATATTATATTTAAAAGTGAGAAAATAATTTATTTTAAAATATTTTTTAAATGTTAAATCTACAATTATTGTGAGACAAAGATATTTTATTTTTTATTCGATTAATTTTTATTTTTTTTAAATATTAGTAGTTAAAGTTAGTCATTATTATTTTTTCTTTTTATTAAATATTTTTTCACCTAACATTCATTCTTGGTTTCATACTTAAGAGCATCTCCAATGAGGATTGTTTATAAGTAACTCCCATTACAGATGCTCTAATACGAACCTACGTGTATCACACAATCAAAACGTGTAGTGTGATAATTATAGTTGGTTGATAGTTGATACCGTTCATCATATAAGATTCTTTTCAAATGTTAGGAATATGTTTGATATAAAACTAATATTTTAACATATAATTGAAATTAAATATTTTAAATATATAAATAATATTATTATTAAATTTATAATAAATGATTTTTAATTAAGAGTGTAAATGGATTGTGATATATATAGTTATAAATTCAACCCAAGCTAATTATATTTATGTAAGTCATGAGTTAATTTCAACTTAATCCAACCCTAAATCCTAATAACCCCTTCTCATATGCATAATAAAAATGATTTATAATAAATAATTTTATTAAATGTCAACGTTTATTACAAGAGTAAAATTATAATTATGATTAAAGAAGAGTAACAACACTACCTATGATATTATTCTAAGTTTTATCTTTCAAATAATTGTTAGTGTTGTTTGAGACATTATTATATTTTTCTTATTAGTATTGTTTGGGGTCTTTTGCGACATGTGTTATGTCATTTGTATTTTTTCTAGTATTTTTTTGGGATATGTATTAAAACTTGAAAATTTATGCAATTTATTTTTATGATTTTTTAATATATTTTAAAAACTTAGGTATATTAATATGTTAGCTTAAATTCACTTTTGATCCCTATAGTTTAATGAATGTGCAATTTTGATCCTCCAAAAAATTTTATTGTAAATTTGGTCTTGATAGTTTTCAACATTAAGTAATGTTAGTCCTCCTAGTAACATGTTATAAAAAAATAAAATAGAAAATGCTAACGTGCTTGTGAATGATGTTATAGACAATTAGTTGGACATATAAAAAACTAAAAATATTAAAAATTTTGAAAAAATATTTTAATACATTATAAATTTTAATTGAAATTAATAAAAAAGAAACATAACATATATGTATTAAAAAATAATATTATTCTTTACATGGTAGTCAACATGACTAAATAACTACTAGGCAATGTCATTCACAGGTACATTAGCATTTTTTATTTAAAGGAGCTAAATTTTTAATAAATATCTTTATACGTCAAAGTTGCACAATCACAAAATTATAAATGCAAAAGTGAATTTAAACCTAATATTTAAATAAATCAACCCAATTATCCAATCTAACCAACTCAAATAAAGTTAAGTTAGGTTACTTGACTAAAATAAAGTTTACACACTTGACTCAATCCAAACTGATTATATTTAATTAGGTTGGATTCTCTAATTTTATAGCAAAAGTTGATCTAACTTAACCCTTTTATAATTTTATTTTTTAAATACATAAATTATATTTTAGATTTTTAATAAATAATTTATATTATGATATATAAAGGTAGTTGTAAATTCGATAATTTCTTTTAAAATATCAGAATTTATTTTATTTAAAAAAAATAAAAAAAAAGATATATGGAAGGTGATAATGGATAAAGAAAAATCTTAACAATGCTCATGTTAAAGTCTCTCAAAACATGCTAGCATATCACAAAGAACATCTCTTTTCATGTTATGATGCATGAGTTCCCATAGACAATGCATATGATGAGCTTACTAGCATATCACACATGGAGGATTCTACCTCTTATGGTGTTACGTAAATCATCCATTTAACAAGAAAAAAAAAATCATCGGGAAAGAGAATGCACAATTGTTAGTTGAACTTAAATCATCCATTTTTTTTAATCACTTTATTTTATACTTCAAAAATTTGTATACCAATCATAACATAATGTTACTTTTTCATTTCACTACTTTTATAGCTTAGCATAAACTTACAATAGATGTGTGTAAATACAGGTTGGGAACTTCATGCACTACATAAGCCGATTTATTGTGGGCTTTACCGTTGGTTTTGTGAGAGTGTGGCAAATCAGTTTAGTGACACTTGCCATTGTACCCTTAATTGCCCTGGCTGGAGGCCTTTACGCATACGTGACAATTGGTCTTATTGGAAAAGTTCGAACAGCGTATGTGAGGGCAGGTGAAATTGCTGAAGAGGTAAGTAACATTATGTTTTATACCTCCCAAATGACAAAATTGAGTATTTGATCTTCCAAGTAATAGAAACCATTTTAAAAACTTTTAAAATTAATAACCTTTTGTGATGAACTATAGTCAAAATTCATGGTGCTAGTAACTAATAAACATATTAAACTTTATAGGTTAAAGGTTATTGGAGTATACAATTATTTTTGTTTTAAATTTTAGTTCTTACAAGAAAATAATAAGTTTTTATCTCAATACATGTATAAAAATTAAATTTTGTTCCATATTGCAAATATCATGATTTTTATTTATTAAATATGTTTTTAGTCGTGAACTTTTTAAAATTTTATTTTTAGTTCTTTAACATATTTTATTTAGTTTTAGTTTTTAAATTTTTTTCTCATAAATAAAAAATGTTGACATTAAAGACTAAAATGTTAATAGAAAAATACAGCTCAAGGAGTATAAATAAAAATCAGCAAAAGTTCATAGATTAAAATTAGTAAAAGATTTGTTCAGGTATTAAAAGCATATATAATTGAATATCATAAGGACTAAAAAAAATTTGTGGTATAAACTTAAATTTTTAAAATGAGGACAATTATTATAAGGAAAAAGTGTATATTTTAACCCACGTTACATTATTTTTACAAGAACCATTTGCAGGTAGTATAGTAGGTATTATCATTGAATGTTTATATTAGATGTACAGTGAGTCGATGACCATATATATTCTTTGTGGATTTAAGGTGATAGGCAATGTGAGAACAGTACAAGCATTTGCAGGAGAAGAAAGAGCAGTGATATCATACAAAGCGGCTCTGTTGAAAACATATAAAAATGGTCGAAAAGCAGGTTTAGCAAAGGGTCTGGGACTAGGCTTTATGCATTGTGTGCTTTTCCTATCATGGGCACTTCTTGTTTGGTTCACTAGTATTGTTGTTCATAAGAATATTGCCAATGGTGGCGATGCTTTCACTACCATGCTCAATGTAGTCATCTCTGGCCTGTAAGCAAGCCTTTCTCACCTTTTGTTATATATGCATTGTGACACTGCAACTTATCACTAGACATTCTATATCGGTAGTGTCAAATATGGTGTTTTAATTACATTGGCATCTATTTTGTTTGTCGGTACAACCAAATATGTCATATAATGTGCGCATTCTAGTACTTGATAAAAATAATTAGTTTACTCAACCATACTTAAAAGCCACATTATTTTTTTTTATTGCATAAATGGTATAGAAGCCAAGGCTTAAGCTGAAAAGAGTTTGCAACTATACTTGTTTCGAGGGAGGTAAGGAGAACTAGAAGATATTAAAATAATGAACACGATGGAAGCTAATGCCAAATAAGAACATCAAAAATCTATATTATAGACTTATATTTTTTGGTTTGATAATGAGATATAACTCCTTTCTATTAATCCATTCCTATAATGATAAAGTGGTACTTCTAATCATGATTTGATGTGTCCAAGATGGATTCCGGTGTTTAGTCAAGTAACAGAAATGTCGAATTACTTGATCCAACGACTTTTGGTGAATTAGACTTACATGAATCTGAAAGCAATGAGCATATATAAATAATTTCATTGCAACTGATGGTTCGGTTAGGTTGATGCGCTACAATTCAATGATAATATTTAACTCTATACTACTTACTACATTCATCCAAATTACATGAAGTACTGATAGAATCATGCTTCTTAATTTCACTATGGTCCTTCTTTGGGAAAATGCACGATATTTACCTTGCAAAATGTAAATTCACCAATACTTAATGGACATTGTTTAATGCATTAGTTATAGCATAAGCAAGCTAACGAATATCCTACTATAACTTTTCATTAGTTTTGTTTTATGTTAACTTGCTTTTCTTGGTTAAAGATCATTTTCAAAATTATATGATATACGATGTTTTGCATCTCAGGTCACTTGGGCAGGCAGCACCAGATATTTCTGCATTTATCAAAGCAAAGGCAGCAGCTTATCCCATTTTTGAGATGATAGAGAGGGACACAGTGAGCAAAGTCACCCCAGAAAATGGTCAAAAATTAAGCAAATTAGAAGGTCACATCAAATTTATGGATGTCAGTTTTAGTTATCCATCTCGTCCTGATGTGATTATCTTCAACAATTTTTGTCTTGAGATTCCTTCAGGGAAAATTTTAGCCCTTGTGGGAGGAAGTGGTTCTGGAAAGAGCACAGTTATATCATTGATGGAGCGCTTCTATGAACCACTTTCTGGCCAAATACTAATAGATGGGCACAATATCAGGGAACTTGATCTCAAATGGCTTAGACAGCAAATTGGACTGGTTAACCAAGAACCTGCACTTTTTGCTACAAGCATCAGGGAGAACATACTGTATGGAAAAGATGATGCCACTCCGGAAGAAATAAATAAAGCTGTGAGGCTTTCTGATGCTTACACTTTCATTAACAATCTTCCTGATGGATTAGATACTCAGGTAAGAATGCACCTTTAGCATTTTAATATACAACAAAGGTCCAACTATGTTTTTTCTTAGTCATGGGCAACCATCTATGAATCTTTGGTCTTTAACTGAGCCGAATGGCGTCATGTGATCCATGTAGACAAGCTCACCTAGTGGAATAAGGCTTTGTTAAATGTTGTAATCATGTGCAACCATGTTTCCAGGAAATTTTATTCTTTGTCCCTGCATAAAGTAAATTATTTTCCCTCTTTAAGAATGTTGTCTAGTAGGAAGATGAAACTAGGGAAATTAAGATATGTTGATCATAGTGGATAGCAAATAGGAGAAGGTAAAAATGTTAGCATGTTATCTATTTGAAGAAACTGTTACCGGTAACAGCTATATCTAGGAAATTTTCACTTCTTTAAGAGTATTTCCAGGGCTACAAAATAAACATTGGAACTATAAATATTATATGGGGGAAAACCGGTAAAGAGTGTCAATTTCATACTTTGTTAAGCAAGGGCAAAGAAATGGTTTTTGTAACTCAAGTAAAATTGATGGATGATTTTTTCCTTAGGAGATGATACTAAATTCCCTTTGCAGGTTGGTGAGAGAGGGATACAATTATCAGGGGGACAAAAACAAAGGATTGCAATATCTCGTGCTATAGTTAAGAATCCATCAATCCTTTTACTAGATGAAGCAACTAGTGCTTTGGATGCAGAGTCCGAGAAAAGTGTACAGGAGGCTCTTGATCGTGTCATGGTTGGTAGAACAACAGTGATAGTTGCACACAGACTTTCTACCATTAGGAATGCAGATATGATTGTTGTTATTGAGAAAGGGAAGGTGGTCGAAATTGGCAATCATGAGGAACTCATATCCAACCCAAATAGTGTATATGCATCTCTTGTTCAAATCCAACAAACAACCTCTTCTCAAGGCCACCTTTCTGTAGATCCTTACATTGGAGGGTCATCAAGGTACTCAACCTAAATTGAAATTAACAGAATAGAGAATAATCTTATCTTTTTTTATAGTTGTCACAAAGTTTGGTCTTTGTCTAACTTTTGAGCTTAGTCTTGTGATTCCCTTTGATTATGATACTGAAAAGCTTCTTGCTGTAATTGAAATAGAAAATTGAATGAGATAGTTCATCTATAATCCTTTCTATTACCTGTTGAGGAGTGTTAGCAACACACTCTTTAATATATTTTTCTTAGCACATCCACTCTTATCGGTTAGAATTTATTGAAAACTACAAAATTAAGATAGAGTCATTAAAGAGGGTGTGGGACCCACCAAAATTTGTGTTTTCCAATAAATTTTAACCAATTAGAAAAAGTGTTTTAAAGAGTGTGTTATTAGCATTTCTCGTCACCTTTTTATGGATACTAGGATAACATATCATTAACATCATACTTATGTTTATATGTTTATTTTGATTGGAACATTAGGCGCCTAGGAGAGTCATCATCACGTGGAACAAGCTTTCGTGGTAGTTTTCGTTCTGATAAAGAATCTATTAACCGGGCTTTTGCTGATGGAGAAGAAAGTGTTGGAAGTTCAAGGCGTGTCTCAAATAGAAAACTATATTCCATGATTGGTCCTGACTGGTTTTATGGTGTTTTTGGAACCTTGTGTGCATTTGTTGCTGGAGCACAAATGCCACTTTTTGCTCTTGGAATCTCTCAAGCTCTCGTATCTTATTACATGGACTGGGATACAACACGCCATGAAGTGAAAAAAATTTCTCTCCTCTTCTGTGCGGCTGCAGTTTTAACTGTCATTGCCCATGCCATTGAACATCTTTCCTTTGGAATCATGGGGGAACGACTTACCCTTCGTGTGAGAGAAAAAATGTTTTCTGGTAATTTTGATCAACCAATTATGACTTGTCATTCCACTTGTGTGCTTCTATTTCTAAGAAATTCTTCCTTTTAATTTTCATATTGAAATAATAATGTTTGCTGAAAGTCATATCAAGAGTGATTTGTAACTGTTACACTGATAGTGTATCAAAATAAAATTATTTTGTTTTAAAGATGAGTATCTGCATTTTTAAGTGTTCACAAATTTTTCTACTAATTCTAAAATATACTTGGCTAAATAATTATATAGCTATTATAAGTCATGACTTGATGATCTTTCTTTCACTAACTTCCCTGTTCACATGGGTGCAGCTATTTTGAAGAGTGAAATTGGCTGGTTTGATGAATTAAACAACACAAGTTCTATGCTTTCGTCACGTTTAGAGACTGATGCAACATTCTTAAGAACTGTTGTTGTTGATCGTTCAACCATTCTTCTGCAAAATGTTGGTCTGGTTGTTACTTCATTCATTATTGCCTTCATGTTGAATTGGAGGATCACGCTTGTTGTATTGGCCACATACCCTTTGATCATTAGTGGTCACCTTAGCGAGGTTTCCTCTTGCTCCATATTTCAACATTACCCAACTAGTACATTTTATTTTTAACAACTTGGTGCCAACATTTCAGAAACTATTCATGGGAGGATTTGGTGGCAACCTTAGCAAAGCATATCTTAAAGCCAACATGTTGGCTGGGGAGGCTGTGAGTAATATCCGCACTGTGGCTGCATTTTGTGCTGAACAAAAGGTCCTTGACCTTTATGCCAATGAGCTTGTGGAGCCTTCAAAGCGTTCATTCAATCGTGGCCAAATTGCTGGCATATTCTATGGCATTTCCCAGTTCTTTATTTTCTCATCTTATGGCCTTGCCTTGTGGTATGCTCTTGCTTCTGTTTGGTTTAAAAGTATATCTGTCTTACCCAATGCTAGGGACCAAAAAAGTAAACAAACTTCAACACACAGAATTAGATTAATAAATTACAAGTCTACGTGATTGCTTTTGTTATTGAGAGTGAGACTTGTGCACCCTTTGTAGGTATGGATCTGTGTTGATGAAAAAGGAGCTTTCTGGCTTCAAATCAATTATGAAGTCATTTATGGTTTTAATCATAACAGCATTAGCTATGGGGGAGACTTTGGCACTGGCACCTGACCTTTTGAAAGGAAATCAAATGGTTGCATCAATTTTCGAATTGATGGATAGAAAGACAGAAATATTGGGTGATGTTGGAGAAGAGCTAAAGACAGTGGAAGGGACAATTGAGCTAAAAAGAATCCATTTCAGCTACCCTTCAAGGCCACATGTGGTTATTTTTAATGATTTCAATCTTACAGTGCCCGCAGGAAAGAATATTGCCTTAGTGGGACATAGTGGTTGTGGTAAAAGCTCAATTATCTCCCTTATACTCAGATTTTATGACCCAACATCTGGGAAGGTGATGATTGATGGTAAGATGTTTGAACAGCTTATTCTCTAACCACTCATTCTATTAGCAGTACAAAACACATAGAAATATAAGATAACTTATTCACTAAGTAAAATGCAAAGTTGGACAAATGCTCAAGTTACAAAATAACTTTGTTTTTATAAAGACAAACAAAATAATAGTCCAGACAAACAAAATAATATTAAATTTATTATAATACCTTTTAAATTAATTATCATAATAAATTATTTGTATAATTTTAATAAAAATAATGGTAGTAAAAATTATAATAACTATAATAATAATAATGTTGGTAGTAATAATAATAGTGATGTCAACAGCGACAATGATAAAAACAAGGTAACGGTGGAGTAGCTGCAACGGCGATAGTAGATAATAACAGTAGTAGTATTAAGTGATAATGGATAAGAGTTGAGATGATATAAGTACAGTAACATGGTACATTAGTAAGTATTTCTGGACTTTGGACAAAAGATTATCCTAAAGTTTCTTGAGTTACAAAAAATAAGATTTTGTCATGTCTTTCTTCCTTTTTTTATAATATAAACTCCGTAATCCTGTATAAATCAAATGTGTAACAATTATTTTTGTCTAGAACAATACCAGAAATTTTAGCAAATTAAAGTGCCCTCATAACAAACACATATTGGCATGCACAAGACAATCATATTTTAGCAAATTAAACGTGCCCTCATAACAGACACATTGGCATGCACGAGACAATCATTAAAAATGCTCTACATGTGTAACAATGTAATCTCAATTTCAATTTATCATAAATGTGAAAACATTCTTCTAACACTGACTGATCAAATTCTTGCAGGAAAAGACATCAAGAAACTCAATTTGAAATCCCTTAGGAAACATATTGGTCTAGTGCAACAAGAACCTACTCTTTTTTCAACATCAATTTATGAAAACATTCTTTATGGAAAGGAAGGAGGCTCGGAATCAGAAGTGATTGAAGCTGCTAAACTTGCCAATGCTCATAACTTTATCAGTGCTCTTCCTGAGGGCTACTCCACCAAAGTAGGTGAGAGAGGGGTTCAACTTTCTGGTGGCCAGAAACAAAGGGTAGCTATTGCCAGGGCTATTTTGAAAAACCCTGAAATTTTGCTGCTAGATGAAGCCACTAGTGCACTGGATTTGGATTCGGAGCGTGTGGTGCAACAAGCTCTAGATAAATTGATGCAGAACAGAACAACAATTATAGTGGCACACAGGCTATCCACAATAAGAAATGCTGACCAAATAGCAGTTTTAGAGGATGGAAAGATAATTGAGCGAGGGACTCATTCAAGACTTGTGGAGAACACAGCGGGAGCATACTACAAATTAGTCAACCTTCAACAACAACAACATAATGAATGACATAACCAAAAATAACAACGAATTATTTTATCTTGAATCAATTTGAACATTTACCCTTTTTTATGTTTTTATTATTATTTTTAAACAAAGCAAAAGAGAAAGTACATAATATTAGTTGATAACGCCCCAATAAAAAGAAGAGACTAGAACACATTTATTCATCCACCTGGATGCCCATAAATGTTATTCACCCATTTTTATTTTATAAGTTCTTTTATTTATTTGTTATTATAGTCACTCTTACAGAGAATGATGACGTGGATTTGGGGATACTGTTTGGACAGAAAAATATCGCACATATTGGTAACTATGGTAAAAATATAAAATGGCTTTAAATAATCAGGTTTAGTTACACTTTTATTTATCCGTTTTACAATTGTGAAATTTTAGTATTTCAAAATAGTTTTCTGTAAATTAAAATAATTTTACTAATATTTTTTTTTTATTTTCATAAATGTACTTAGATGGTATAAATATTTTCAAACAAAATCAACTTTTTAGTTATTTTTTACCAAACAATTTTCATCTAAAAGGTGGTTTTAGCTAAAAGACTTACTAAAAACTTACTAAACGATGAACTATTTTTTAAGCTCTTATTTTTAACTTTAAAATAAAAATAGCTTTTCAACTAAAAGAAAAGTTGACTCAAGATAGTTAGTTTAAGTGGTTCGATATTTGTATTCTTTAATCAAGAACCAGATTCATCCCTTGCTTTAGACATGATGTCGCAATGAAGGTAATACTATATTCTTATATGGACGAACTTGGTAAAAAGAAGTCATACTTCCTTATCAGATTATATATATATATA